ACGGAGAAGTTAAGGAACCTTGCCCAAGGTCACAGAGAGAGTGGGAGCAGAGCTAGGTCGTGAACCTGGCAGTCAGACTCCAGGGTCCAGCACTTAATCATTACCCGCCCAGTCTCCCCGGGATCAGGAATGGCAAACAGCAGCTGTTGATTTTTCCAAAGAGCAAACATTCCCCAAGCTAGTGCCAACCTTCTCCCCTTCCCAATTCCTCTTCCTCTTTCCCTGAAACCTGTCACCTCGAGCATTCCCCGACCCTGGTCTATCCAGATGGACTCCCAGGCTTGTCCTCGCATCTACAACACTCCTAGGAAGTTCAGATTTCCCAGGAGCTGAAGCTCGTGGTTCCACAGCAGCTCCTGGAGCTGTTAACTCTTTCTTCCCCTCCCTATCTCCAGAATGCTTATTACATGAATCACAGAGCTCTTTGCTAAATAATCTGAGCACCATCACCCTGTATATTTACAGGGTCTTTATAGGGAGCAGAAAATAGAATTGAAGAGCCTATGTATGGTTCCCAGAAATCAATCTGAACATTGCCCTTCCTTCAAAAGAAACTGCTGTGCTCTCTGGCCTGAGGCAAATACCCAAATCTTTTCCAAGAAACGCATAATGAGAACCGTAACAAGCCCAGATGCTCTGGGGTTAGGGAAGAGCGGCCTCTTGATCTTAGATTACAAGGGATTTTTGCCTTGGCACCAACTCCCCCACTGCTGGAGAGAGCTCCTCTTCTGGAGAGCTGATTTAAAAGAGCGTGCAATCCAAATCAACACTGTTAGTACAGTAAAGCGGGCGCGTTAAGGGGAAAAAGCACGTGGCTTTCCTGAAGCCAGGATTCGTTCCCACTGGGTGCTCCTGCCCAGGTGGCTGGGTGTGAGGTAGGTATCCTGCTGTCAACTGCTCCACTGGACACTGAAGCCTGGGGCCTTCTCAGCCGCGGTCCATTGGCTTCCTCTGGCTCCTCTGCCCTGGCGGAGCGTGATGGACAACCTTGAAACGGTTCCAGGATGAAAGCTTCCTTGCTCCTCTTGCAGATCACATGGAGGACTCTGAAGGCGGAGATCAGCCTAATTAGGGCTCCTCCTAGCTCAAGGGATGGGAAGCCTGGGCTGGCGCCTCCTCTTCGGAGCTCGAGCCTGTTCTGTTCATACCAGAAAGACTTCTCTCTCCAGTCTCATTGCTCTTTGAAGACATTCTTCTGGCTGCAAAAACACTGAACACCCCAAGCTCTAAAATACTGGGACCTAGAGTTGACCATTAGATGGAGAAGACCCAATCTGTGAACCAATCGGGTCTTGGCTTCCCATCTTCCCTCTGGAGTTGGGGAACATTATGACTTCCATAGGACCCTCCCCAGAGGCTTCGGATAAACTCAAAATAGGCCCCCTTATTGCTCATTTAGGAGCACTGAGAGAACGTTTAATAAGAAAGGGAGCATTTAATAAGAAAGGTCCAAACACAAGATTCCAAGAACAATTTTTCTAAAATGCCAATCTGACAGCATCAGTGCCTCTCATCCTGTGTTAAAACCTTTCTTTAGCTTCCCGTTGTTGCCGAATCAAACACGAATTTTCAGCTGAGCCTCAGCAACTTTTTTTCTTTTTTTTAAAGATTGGCACCTGAGCTAACATCTGTTGCCAATCTTTTTTCTTTCTCCCCAAAGCCCCCTAGTACATAGTTGTATATTCTAGTTGTAGGTCCTTCTGGTTGTCCCACGTGGGCCGCTGCCTCAGCATGGCTTGATGAGCGGTACTAGGTTCACGCCCAGGATACGAATGGGCGAAACCCTGGGCTGCTGAAGCAGAGTACGCAACTTAACCACTCGGCCACTGGGCTGGCCCCTCAGCATCTTTTTCTGATCTGTCTCTTCCACTCGACTCATCTGTCACATCGCCTCTCTTCAGTCACAGGCAAACTTCCAATAACTCCCCACAATTTCTCTTTTTCCCAGGTCTTGCATCTTCACTTGTACGGTCTCCCCCACAGGCCCAGTTCGCCTTCAGGACTCATCTACTCATCTTGCAAAATGAGTCAAATCTTACAGATAAGACTCTCCTCGTCTTTTCCTGCTCCCCACTCTGCAGGCTGAGTTATGCCATCATACGCATCCTAGTTATATCACTGTCACAGGGCATAATCTAGAGCAGTGGCATTGCCTGGGGGACTTGACTGGCTTCTTTGTGAAACATGAAGCTACCTCAGAACAGGCGCTCACCCTTCGACGTCTCCCCCACCCACGATTCCTAGTGTCCTAGTGTCCCACAGCACATTTCCGCGGACAAATATTTGCAGATTATATGAATGAATAAATAATAGCAAGCAAAAAAGAACGCTCTGGATTTCTGTGAACTGCAGAGCTCTGTACAAAAGTCCGTGTCCAGGAGGTAGAGTGAAAGGGCAGTTTTATTAGCATCTTTTCCAGAAGACAGTTTAGTGACATGTTTTCCCAATCATAAGGTCCAAGATGAGCTTCCTGGTTCCTGCTACACATGAATAAAAGTGCACACACTCACTCATTCATTTGTTCATTCCTTCAAGTCGCAGTTACTATGCACCTACTGTGTGCCAGGAGGGGGCTAGGCACTTGGGATACAGAGGTGGCCAGGCTGGGCGTGGCCCTGCATTATGGAGCATTTAGTGAGGTCTATTTGGGGAGCGGGACCCTCCTGTTTGAAAGGCAGCCTAGTCACAGATTTACAGAGAACAGGCCAGATGAGAACTTTTAAAGACTGGCTGGGATTCAAGTCTTAGGGAAGATAGAAATAAAAGCCTTCAAATAAACTTGATAAAGAGTCCTTTTACACGTGGTGGTGAGTGACTATTTTCCCTGAGAGGAAGTAGAGACAGGAAAGGACAAAGTAGGTTTCAGAAGCAGCTGCCAGGACCCCGGGAAAAATCTCAGACAGCTTCCCGTGAAGGTGGGAAGAGCTGCAGGGTCCTAAAACGCACTGCCAGAGGCGGCCGCTGCAGCACCTCTCTGCGCCTTCAGGAAGAACCAGCACCTCCCGGGGGTCAAGAAGATGGGAAGTATGGCGCGTGGCCACGCCACCACCTGAGGCCCCGGCCTTGACATTGCTACAGGCCTGGGCACAGACCAAGCCAGCATCAACCTCGATTCCACGACATGTCAGTCCCGTGACTGTATTCCCCAGAGAATGGAGTTATTACTGTCACCTCCCAGGATTACCGTGAGGAGTAAACGAGATTATGCCCTGTGACGGGCTGGGTACACGTTGGCATAAATGGTTGCTAGAGTTAGGATGATGATTCTGTCATTCTTAATTTAGGGGTCAAAAACTGAATGAGGTAATGATTCACAAGTTTAGTTCTCATGGTAAAGTCTAACGAGTAATATTGTACAGTATATTATATAATAATATAACATGCTTATATAAGAATACATAATATAATGATATGATAAAATATAATACATTAAGTGATCAACAGCATAGTTTGCATTTATTAAGCAGTGTGCCAGCTCTGTTCTAAGCACTTCCTATGTACCAGCTCATTTCATCCTCACACCAGCCCTGTGAGGGTCTATTATTACCCTTATTTTACAGGGAAGGATACTAAGGCACAGAGAGTAACACGTCCAAGTTATAGATCCAGAGAGTCATGCGGGTGTGACGAAGCCAGGTGGCTGGGCTGCAGAGCATGCCCTCCTGCCACTAAGAAACACCCAGAATATCAGATCCGCCACCCTGAAGCCTGTGCCCCGGCTCTCGCTCTCCAGCAGCTGCACCCAGGACTGTCCACTGCTCTCCACAGTCTGTCACCTCCAATCTTTCCCTTGAAACCTACCTTGGACCGACTCTACAATCTACGCCTACTTACATTTTCAACATACTGTTTCTATTTTCAGCCCGCACAATCCTCATCCCCTATTGTGTAAAGATCTCTTGATCACCCCAAGACACTCTGCTTTGCCCTTTAAGAGGAGCCCCTTATTTCTGGAATCTGGTCAAGGAGTTCACACTCCCGAAACCATGGGGGTTCTGAATCTGTCTGTTTTTAGCTCTGGGTTGCTTTTGAAGCCTAAGGAATTAAAACATTATAAAATGATGGCAATGACATTATTGGCCTTTACTGCTATGAGTGCAAGCCAGAGTTTCCAACCTCTGTTGGGGGTGGAGAGACCCCTGGAGTCCTCCTCTGCTTTGGGACTGAAGTCCTGCTTTTTATCTGTTTCATATACTTAGGTTTCATGTAAAGTTGCATTTGAAAAGGGGTCCTGTTTTAAAAGATGTTTGAAAGCCACTAAAAAGTCCTAACATATTTGGAATTAATGGAACTTATAAAGGACTGCTTAGAAACCATTGGTTTCAGTTCTTGCCTTTTTCAAACTTTTTTTTTCCTTTAGGAAGATTAGTCCTGAGCTAACATCCGCTGCCAATCCTCCTCTTTTTGCTGAGGAAGATTAGCCCTGAGCTAACATGCGTGCCCATCTCCCTCTGCTTTATACGTGGGATGCCTGCCACAGCATGGCTTGAGAAGAGGTGAACAGGTCTGTGCCCAGGATCTGAACCAGTAAACCCCAGGCTGCTGAGGCGGAACATGTGAACTTAACACTGCACCCCCGGGCTGGCCCCAGTCCTCGCCTTTTTTAGGGTGAGAAATGAAGATGAGGCAGGACCAGAGAGCCGCCGCTCTGTCCCTGTCCCCACCCAAGTCTTTCTGATGCTCCTCAGAACCCACTCAGGGCACAGGTCTGATGGGCAAGGAGGCCTGCATCTTGACCATGCAGTCTCTCCCATTTTAAGTTTCCATTTGACCTTCTGCCATCATAAAGAATATTCTTACCCCAAGGAGAGATTGACTCCCTTGGATGACCATGACAGGGCATACTTTAAAATTTCAACAAGGCATTAGCAGCTTCTGGAGCCTTCCAAAGCAAGAAAACAACAAAGAAACATGATGAGCTCTTAACTGTTCACAAGAGCCCTCTGGGGTAACAGGAAGCAGGACACGGCAAAGACAGATGAACTTCCGAAGAGCCTCACCTGTTTTTCAATGAAAGCATTGATTCTCTGCAACATCCCCTCACATGTGAATTCATATGGCATGTACGGCTCAATCTGCGGAGACAGAACACAGTAACATGAAAGAGGAGGACGCAGGATATGCCACTCTTACCTAGTCCTCCACTGACTCATTCACACTCAGGTGCCAACACCTGCAGGCAGCCTCGAGAGCGGCTAAGACTATGAACTTGGATGTGAACAGACTTGGGTTCACAACCTCACTCGGCTCCTTACTAGCTGTGGGACCCTGAGCAAATTACCTACCATTTCTGAGCCTCAATTCTTCATGTATAAAATGGGGATAAGAAAAACCCACCTCTTTTAAACTGTGGTGAAGATTAAATGGAAAAAAACCCAGGGTACAGTGCCTAGTTCAGTGTCTAGCACATAGTGGGTATACAACAAAAGGTGAGGAGTATCACTTGTTAGAAGGTGAGCTCCATGGGGTGGGGTCCATGGCTGCTGGGTCATCTCTACATCCCAGTGCTGGGCAGTGTGACACGCAGGAACTTAGCAAGTCTCTGTTGAATGAATGCATGCTTCCTAGGCTGAGAAAGGCACATGATCAGTGGTTTGAGGACCCGTGATGGTGACAAAAGCATCGGTCTGTTTCAGTAGGTGAGGTTAGCATGTACCCAAAGAACTCATGGTGCAAAAACAGAGGAATAAACTACACAAGGAGTTTAGCTAGAGGCTCTTTGGAGGCTAGAAGGTCAAAGCAGACTTCTGCTCATGCTGGGCTTCTAAGACCAGCTATGGATCTAGCAAGCCAAGACTGAGGGGTCTGAGATGTGGAAGATGCTCCAGGTGGAGAAAGTAGTGGGAAATTAGACACAAAAGAAGGACAGCAGGAGGGAAGACTTCGGGATCATGGAGGCTGGTGAGACAAGGCTGGAAAGAGGGTCACTGGATTTCCACAAAAAGATTTCTACACTAAGGAGCCTACACTTTATTTGAGGGTAGCAGGAAACCCTAGAAGGTGCTTCACTGGGGTGGGAGAGGCAATCTGATCAATATATTGTGACATCTGAGGCAAGGGGAGGAAATGAGGGTTTGATCTCTGCTGTATGGTGTCTCAGCCAACACCATGAGCTATGAGGCCTGTTTTTGGGGCAGCCAGCTAACATTACCAATTTGAAATGGAAATTTCATGTGGGATAAAATTACCGGCAATGCAGTCTGTTACAGCTTCAGAGAGCCCAAAAGCACTTCTCAGCAAGAGGATAGAAGGGTACATTCACCATCTCCCTCTTAAGTCTACTCTTGCCTATCTCAAATCTACAGAGCGGAGAAATGGACAAAACACCTATGAGTTTAAACCTGCTGAAAATGGGACAATTGACAGAGAAGGTATCCTTCTGTGGATAGCCAAGAAGTTGGTCTCAAGGTATCTTCCTTCTTTTCTGTGTGTGTTGACTCACACATTACATTTGAAGTCTTCTTCAACCATGACTGTTAATTCCATACCATATCTTCAAATGCACAATTAGATGGTGCATCACACAGGTTGAATCTCAGTCATCCCTGCCCACATCCATCCAGAGAAGCCGAAAGAGGCTAAGCCATAAGCATTACAATATCAGGGCAGGACTATTCTGCAAGAACAGAATCTTGTCCCTAGACAGTTCATCTCAGAAAAGCTCAATACGTTGAAAAACTAACTTCCATGTCCCAAGCTTGCTCCTTTTCATCTCAAGCTTTTGCACTTGCTGTGCCCTCTCTGATCCAGATGTAGCCTTTCATGCCAAATGTAAAATTTTTCTTTTAAAGGATATTTATTTACTCAATCTGTGGGTGATTCCAGAAGCTTTCTATAACTGGCCTAGAGATACGTCTCCCCGCAAAGGTTCACAGAAGGAACAAAAAGAAGCAACAACAGAAGACTTGGCATATTGGGCTCATTTATGAGGGAACAAGTAGAATTTCTAGAGTGAAATAAACATCACTGGCCATCTGTCGTGAGATCAACAGATCCAGTTATGTGGTGGGAAGCAGGCTGAATATTTGAGGGCCAGTCCTACAACCTACTTCAAAGGGCATCCATTAGAAGTGGATGAATTAAAACAAAGGGCTCAATGCATTAAATACAGAAAAATGGCTCTTCCTGTGTCCTTCTACGAACCAAACTGAGCTTAACCAAAGGGATGCTGACTCATTAATTGTTTTGTGGCCAGTTCACTGTTTTAAAGTATATGGAGCCAAACAATTTTCCTATAAAGGAAATACAAAACAAGGAAACTGTATTCTTAATCCACCTCTGCCTGTGAGTTCCACTAGCCCTTCTGCTGTAGACGGGAACAGGGCCCTCTGTGTGGGAAAGCTCTGCAGACGCCTGGCTTCAGGGATAAACAGCACCAGAAAGCCTCAGATGTAGGAGTTGTTGCACACATTGGGGGTGTGTGTGTGATAGTTTTCTGCATGACAGTCCTTCAGGAACAGTCAAAGGTTCTTTAGGGGATGGAATAAAAGGAATGTTGAAACCACATCCAGTCACTGAGAAACCCAAGTCGGGCCAGTCGTGGAGAAGCAGGAGGAGTGTTCTTGGTCATCCTGCTTTGTGGAAACAGGACTGTTGCTCACACGGCCGTGGAAGGATGACGGCAGGCTGTACTGTGTAGTTCCCACTGGCCTCGGAACTTTCCAATATCTCCCCACCTTCTCCTTTGTTTTCTTCTCCTTACCTCCCTTTGTGTGGGATGTCCTGTCTCCTCTGTACACTCTCATTTTCTAAGATTACAATTCCTACAGGGAACTGCTCTCAGAGATCAGCTAAGGTCTCCATGGTGCCACCTGACAGACGTGGCTTGGCATCGTTCAATGATGATATTCAATGGCATATTCAATGATGATCCAATATTTCTTGGAAGGTACCAGAAGACCAGGAGTTGAGTCCTATCCCCTCTATCTACTAAATATAGGATTTTAAGTCAGACATGTTCTGTAATTTCTCTGGATGATATCAAATGTAAACTAGACCATGTTATGCCCCTGCTCAAAACTTCCCATCCCACTTAAAACAAAACCCAGAATCCTTATTGTGCAAGTTTAAAGGCTCTACATATTCCGGCTCGCAGGGACCCTTTTATGGGCTCCATTATTTCTGATGAGAAGTTGGTGGTCTTTCATATTATTCTTCTTCAGAATGTAATAAATTTTTCTCTGACTGCTTTCAAGATTTTTTTCCTTATCTTTTGATTTCAGCAGTTTGGCTATGATGTACTTATTTTTTTTCTTCATATTTATCCTACTTGGGGTTCACTGAACTTTCAAGATCTGTTGGTTGATGCCATTCATTAATTTTAGAAAATTATTAGCCATTATCTTTTCAAACTTTCTTCTCTCCTCCCTCTGAGATTCCAATTACACATAAGTTAGGTTGGTTGATAAGAGTCCCACAGATCCCACATGCTCTTTTTTATTTCATTCTTTTTACTTTTGGTGATTCAATTTGCATAATCTCTATTAACAAGTTTTCAAGTTCACTGATGGTTTTCCTCTTCTGGATAAACCCACAGAAAGAGTTCATTTCTGATATCATATTTTTCACAGTTCTAGCATTTTTTCATTTTGCTTTTAAAAAAAATTTCCATCTCTCTGATGAAATTCCTCATCTATTCACATTATGTTGTCCACCTTTTTCACCAAATATTTTAATATATTTATCTTAGCATTTTAAAGTTGCTTTGTGATATAATTCCAACACCTGGGCCATCTCTAGGTCTGGTTTTACTGACTGTTTCCTCTCTTAATGATGGGCCACATTTTCTTGCTTTTTTGAGTGTCAAGCAATTTAAAATCCTGTAATTAAATATGAGAAAGCCTGGCATGAAATTTCTGACCCATTTATAACAAGCACAAGGATTTTAACGACAATAGTTTTTGTATTATTCTCATTCCTCACTTCATCTCTCTTTCCCACTCTTATCTTTCCCTTTACTTCATTTCATGCTGTTTTTAATCTTATATTATTTTAACAAACTAGTCAAAAAGACCTAGGTTTCAATCCAGATTCTACTACTTACTAGTTGTGTGATCTTGGTAAATTAATTAATTTCTTTAAACAATAATCTTCTCACCTGCAGAAGGATTAAATGAGATAAGGCTCAGAAAGATGTACAGAAAGATTCTAGATGTGTAGAAAGAGGTTCTCTCTACATAAGACACTATTACAGTTAGCTTTTTTTTTCTTAAGTGGTCTTAAATAGTTTTTGGAATAAGATGGAAAAAGGTTGATCAGGGTTTTAAAACGTGAAACATTAAAGCATCCATGGAATGAACAGAGCCAGGCTGACACAGGAGTGAGCAAATACAACTCAGTGCCCACTCTCAATGCTTCATGTATCAGGCATTCCCATCAGATATTTGTCTGACAAAAGGATCGTGTGACCTGATTTGGAAAGAGGGTCTTTGCAGATGTAACCAAGTTAAGATGAGGTCATAGAAACTTAGGGTGGGTCCTAATCGAATATGACTGATGTCCTAAGAAGAAGTGGAGGACAGTTATATATACACACACACAAGGAGAACACCATGTGATGACAGAGGTAGAGGTTAAACGCTGCAGCTGCAAGCAAGGAATGCCAGCAGAAGGTGGAGGAGGCAAGGAAAGATCCTCCATCAGAGGCTTCAGAGGGAGCAGGGCCCTGCCAACATCTTAATCGTGGACTTCTAGCCTCTAGAACTGTGAGAAAATAAATTTCTGTTGCTTAAGCCACCAAGTTTGTGGTTCTTTGTTATGGCAGCCCTAGGAAACTAATACACTAAGGGACTCTGGGGCTCAAGAAAGAAGGAAGAACCTTCTATCTCCACAGGAATGACTAGATGTGTGGCAGATATTCTGAAGCAGTCCAGTGGTCCCATTGTCCACTCAGCACTTCTCTGGGCTTGGCCAACCAGAGGTCTGGGGAACTTCTACTCTAACGATTGTGACCAGGATTGGGATTGTACATGCCATCAATGGGAAGCTCTGAGCAGCCACCCCAAAGCTCAATAATCAGACCCCCTTTAAATGGAGCAGGACATGGATAATACATCCGGGAGCTCTTGTTCCCCTGGAGATGCTCTGAGTAAGATGAAATTGGCAGTTCAGTTCTCCACATTCTATTTGCCAAAGGGGAAAGATGGCCCTTTACATGGGCCAACAGCTATTCTCCCAGGATATATACCTTTCCAGCCTCTTCCCCTCATTCACACTGTGCCTTGAACCCATATCCTCCTGGGTCCATTTCTCAGTTTAGCTTTCCAAATTCCTACTCCTCCTCTAAGACTTAACTCAATGCTGCGTTCTCCAAAAGTCTCCTCATACTTCCACTCCTTGATCTTTGGCAAGTTGTTGGCACTGAACATGTTCCTCCTTATAGTATGCTTATTTGCAAACGCCTCTTCCCCCTCCCTCCATGCCTCCCATCCATCCATTTGGTAAATCACTATGCTGGGTACTGAGAACACAGCAGTGAGGCAAATATATTTCCTGCCCACGTTGCTTATAGTCTAGTGGAAATCCAGACTATCGATGATAAAAATAAGAATATTATATTATTATATATATAATACTGACTTAATAATATTGACTAAATACTATGTGGTAGACACTGCACATAAGCACTTTATATTCATTATCTCATTGAATCCTCACAAGTACCCATAATGTGGGTAATATTAGTCTATATTAGAGATGAGGAAACTGAGGCTCAGAGGTTAAATAACTGCCTGAGGGGATGCTGCCAGTCGGTGGTCGAGCTGGAACCCAAATCCAAGCCATCCAATTCCAGCTCGCCCTCACAACCACACCTCTACTGCTTCTCTTAAAAAAATCTAACAGAGGGTAAAAACTGTTCCCATAAGGGCAGTACGGAGGGCTGGGTGCACTCGATAGAGTCTGAGGCAGTCCCGGGGTTGGGAGAGGATAACCTGATGCAGCCCTAGAGGCTGGTCAGCTTCCTACAGGCAGGGAGCCGGCCTCATTTATGTTTATGAAAGTGAGTCCCTAGAGTGGCTCGGAGGATGGTCTGCACAGTGGGTACCTAATAGTAGATGTCCACTGAATTGAGTAGGACAGTCCAGAGATGGTAGTTACTTATACAAAATTCTATAAAATGTTGAGGCAGAATAGCCAAATAAATAGACGCTATATAATAACATTTCCTAGTATTTCCTTAATCATTCCTTATCCTTCTCCATTTTTTTGTAGGGTAGTAGGTCCATCTTTTCTGATCTTTGTGAGAGCTATATAATTATGTCTCTGAGGCAAGTGTAATTCAAGCTCCTGTGTCTGGGATCCAGGAGTCACATCAAAGGGTTTGTAGAATACACCCACACCTCTGGACACCAGCTCTGTTTCCATTTCACAGAGCATCCACGACATCCCCAGGCCAATCCCACAGCTTGGCTACTTTCTAATTCCAGAGTTAAGCTGACATGGAAACGTTCCAATGACTCAAACAAAGGGCCTGTGATGCTTTCCACTCATTCCTGTTCACATTGCAAACAGGGAAAATGGTATAAAAGAAACAACCTTCTGACTTAAAATTGCTTTCACCGCATCCTCTACTTCCTCCTGATTGCTGAGGTCGACAGTCCAAACGTGTGGCCGGCCGATGAAAACTTCAGCGTACGGATGCTGGGATGTCAGCTGGAAAAGAAAAAACAGAACATCTCAGTCTTGCTGACACTGACTTTTTAAAAAACCTTCTGTGCTAGATAAAGCGTTGCTTTTTATGGAACTTAGTTGTACTTGCATAGGTAACAATACATTTTTCTTCTTTCCTTTGACGATCAAAACGTTCTACACACCCATAGCAGATAACAATAAAATAGAGATAGCTGTATACTCCTTTTTTTTTGACCCAGAGGGACATTTACTGGGCCCTCCCAGGTCAGAACCATCTGGATGTGCAGGCACGGCACTAACAGTAAGGTACAGTAAGGAGATTGAGGCTGTGAGGTGTGCTCCGGCTGGGGTCACCGTCAGCACCTGCCTGGATACCCAACAGATTCATGTGGGACGTTTTACAAGATAGATGCCCCGGCCATCCTGGACCCGCTGAGCTGGGACCATGGGCACTTTGGAGGGGCCTCTGCGGGTCTGGGGTCCCGGAGGGGTGGCATGTGGACCACGGCCCTGCCTAAGGCCATGAGATCCGTGGGGCAGGACCAGTGATGGTTCCACATCTTGAATCGAACTTGGGGAGAGTTAGAATGTCATAACCAGGTGACATGGAGGCTGTTACAAGTGACTTCAAGTCCTCAGATCACACCAAGAAATAATGAGCATTTACCCTCAGTCACATCCCAGCTCTGAAAATCACCTTGATCAAACGAATATCGGTTATAAAACGCCAATTAGGATAGACAGGTAAGCATAAGAAAATTACAATAAAGTCGTTAAACGCTTTAAAGTCATAGGAGGATGAGTAATGGCGCATATGAAAGGGGACAGAAAGACAAATAATGCTACCAAAAAAACAGAGAATTTTGGAATGGTTTCAGGAATAATTATTAGCATAACACTGGAGCCTTAATATTTATAAAGACAATTTGCAATCAGAAAAGCAAGGAAAGGTGATTTTTGTTCTAAAGGAGGTTTTATTTTAAGCACAAAGAGTGGTCAAAGAAACCCACTGAATGAATACTGGTCATTCTCAGATCTTGAAGAGTCCTTTTTTTGTTTTGTTTTTGGTGAGGAAGATTAGCCCTGAGCTAACATCTGGTTCAATCTTCCTCTACTTTGTATCTGGGATGCCTCCACAGCACGGCTGATGAGTGGAGTAGGTCCACGCCCAGGATCCGAACCTGCAAACCCAGCCACCAAAGCCAACTGCACAGAACTTTAACCACTCAGCCATGGGGTGAGCCCTAAGAGTCCATTCTTTAAGACAGTTAAATGGACCCCTCAAAGTCGTTTCCACCTTTATTCTCATTTCTCTTTAAGGTCGTGTTATAAAGAGAGCATTCTGGACATTTGTGAGAACATTTTCAGTTCTCACCAACACTGGGGGTGCTACCCTTAATCCGTGGGTGGGGACCAGGGACGTCGGACACCTGTGATGCACGGCACAGGCCTGCACAAGGCAGAACCATCCACCTCCAGCACAGCTTTCATGTGTCCTGCTGGGCTTTCACGTGGGTTCCCAGAATCTAACTCTTCGGTACAGTTTTAACATACATTCAATTTCCCGGGAATGTAATTACCGTATAAATCAAGGGATGTTTATACTCTTTTATTTGGGACTTCACCAATAAGCTGTTACCATTCTGGAAAAATCATGACAGCAAAGTCAGTATCACTCAGATTATCTTCAGTACAACACACCCAAATCAGTCTGTGTGTATAGCTCTCATGTTAATGGCAATTGCATATATATGTGTGTATATGTACAGGTACTTTTTAATTTAGCTTCTCTTCCCTAATGTCAACTATAACGATCAGGGGCTGACCAGATTCAGCCCTTAAATACAAACTTATTCACTATAAGGAGAAATGAGACATCACGATATCTTCTAGTATGGTTCTTGGGTATGGTACAGTATTTCTTGACTATATATACAGTGAAATATGTATTACCTTATTGTAAGTTATTTTCCTTTAGATTAGAATTAAAGAATCATTCTTTTTTGAAATTGCATATGTAGGCAGTGTATGTTATTTATGAACTTCATTTCGGGAGAGAAAAACATCTTACAATATTCTTGTAATAAAGGAGGTGCTGCTTTGCCAGGTTTGAGGCCCTTGCTTTTGAGGCCAGGCTGGCTCTCTTCTTTTTTTCTCAGTCATCGTTCTTCGTATCGTGCCACATCAATGGTGTGTGCACACAACTGAGGGTGAGAAACCCAGGGGATAAGTTACTGGGCCTCAGCTCCGAGCCTTGGCTGGCACCCACTCATGGAAATCATGCAATTCTGAGGTACAGGAATCCTGGACTTTGCTCCTGCCTTCTCTGCTAAAATCACACCCATCACTGGCCTGTTCAGCTCCCCATCCTTTGGACATCATCGTCTTCTTTTGCTCAACTGTATGGTCAATGACAGAACCTACAGAGGGCCCGCAGACTCTGAGAGCTGAGGAAATGTCCATTTTGTTTCCTCAGCACATATTTTAGATTTAACACATATTGACGGAGCTCTGGCTGGGCGAGGCACTGTGCTCATTGCCTGCACACACATTACTTATCAGGTTTCCTGAGTATCCATGAGGATTCTGAGGTTTAGTGGGGTCTACAATTCCCCAAGACCACATGGCTAAAAAGCAGCAAAGCAAAGTCAAATCTGGGTTCTCAACAACTTACTAGCTTTAGAAAAAAAGGAAGGTGACAATTTTAAAGGATGCTATTGGGTTCTTAAGACAAAGACCAAAAGAAGCCAATGTAAACACAGTCTCGTAATCACTCTCCTAAAACTTGCCAATCTAAAAAAAACCCCAGGACTGAATTTATGCCTGTATTACACCTTTTCTGAAGATGAGCAAAATGTCACACCATTTTCATTTTGTGGTCTGGAGAACAAACTAATTCTTCCAATGGAATCGGGCAAATTAAAGTTGCCATCAATGTCACTATTCAGCCATTTACACATCAGCAGTCTCTCTCCCCTCCCATTTAAAGGTCTCTGCTTGTTTACAAGGTTGCTCTTGGAAAATACAAAGTGCTGAGCCATTATCATTTTGTTCATTTACAATTATTGAGGGTTACTTAATTTTATGACTAAGGCATTTTGTGATTCATTATTCCCCCTCTGAATGTCATGTTCTTCCTCGTTAATTTATTGAGAACTGTCTGATCTGAGCTACTTCATGGTATATCAGTCAGTAAATTTACTGGAGTATAGTTTGTAAAAGTAATGAAAATCTTATTAAATATGAGACATTACTTCAGAGCAGCTATTAAATCTTAGAGGAGAGCACGCGTTCTCTTTATGGGGAAAAAAACCCTGAAGCCAGAGAATTTCTAATGGTTTACAAAATGCCAGAATAATGATCAACAACCTACTAATATGTTTTCCAATAAAGATAAAAATCCGATTTATATTACGTTTAAAGTATAACTTGAGCCGACCACATTACTTAAAACATTATGAAACTTTTCCCCCTGAGTGAACATCACGGTCTAAAAATTGGTCCAATGCAAAAACAAAAAAGAGCCCACAAAGTTAAACTCATATTTTTCTTCTCTTCAAATGAAGGCAAAGAAGAGACATATATGCAACTTATATGGACAGATTTATATGGATTAATTGTTCCTTAACTCGAAAGACTAGAATAGGCACAAAAGATAGCTTTGAAATGATGTACGTTTTGGTTAAAAAAAGAAAAGGATAATTTCTAGGGATTTTTGACCCTTAAGGATGCGTAGAACTATTGGCAGCCCTTTGCCAATTAAAAGCATCTTGGTTAGGGGGATTTTCTGGCTTTTGTGAGCTCAAAGAGCAGAGCAGGGTGGCCCACCTGGCTGCGAGGTCAAGTTCACTGCCTCCTCGCAAAGCTGCGTGTTGCTGTTGGCTACTAAGTCTACTCTCTGCACTGTCTCCAGCTGAGAAGGAGACGGACATCAGATGGAACCTGCCCGCCTGCCCAAAGCAACTGACCTTCTTCAAGGTTCCCTCCAACTCATCAACATTCACACCTCTCAAGCTTGAAATCGCCCCCTCTTCCTTGTCCTTTAAAGCACAGCTCCTCCTCCACCTCCTTCTCAGATAACTTAGCACATTCTCCACCTGGCGCAACTCCAAATTCACTTCCTCCCCTTAATTAACTTAGCTATTTCTTTATGCATTTCCATTGATTATGTATCTGTCTTACCACTCCTCCATATTAAATTTTGAGCTCCTGGAAGACAGGAAATGTACCTTGGTAAGTTTTCCCCAAGGTAGCATCTAGTACCACAGATCCTGTGCAGACATAATCAACATCTGTCAAATGACCTTTTGCATCTCAGCCCTCCTATGGGAGCCCAGGACTGATGAAGTCATCTGTGTGAGGTGACGTGCTGAGCAATTGTTGCAAGGACCCCACAGTGCCATTCTAACTGAAGTCTCAGTCGGGCACTGGTGGAATCATCTGAAGGGACAGGAGGAACCAACTGCCTGGAAGGCAGCTCGAATGCCCACTCTCTTTGAAGAATGAGAATCTTCCAGGATCTCAACAAAAAGCAAACTACTCAGTGATGGTAATTGATTGGAAACAATGAACACAATTTTCTCAATAACTTCATACTGGGTAATCTGATCTATGTAACATTATATCACTCACTGGGAAATAGATCATGTTTAAGAGTGTCCTAAATTTTTTTCAGGAAAAAATACGCAGTTGTAACAAAGTATCATCAAAATCTTTAGAATTATCAATTAAAAAAAGGTGCCAGTTGCCAATGTAGTCTAAGATACTTTCGATTAATCATTCCTCAAAGGCATGTATTAGAAACTGTGGGAAGAACAGAGATGGGTTTCTTCACTTTTCACGCATTTAAAAAAATCATGATGAGGGAAAAAGGAAATCACCATTAGAACACCACATTAATAACTGCCGTAGGCAAGATCTACTGGTACATGGGAAAAATAAATGGGCAAAAGTTTCAAGAGAACCGAGATATATGCAGTCTCAAAGTATTTCCCCCAACATAGAGAAAAATAGCACCTTTATCGTGGAGAAACCTGATAAACACGACCTTCACCAAGTGATCACGGTTAACATCACCAGTAATAAGATATATCGACATGATGCACCCTGATAGGATACACTGAGGAGGCCACATCACTTCTGGGGTAGTCTTGCCAAAAATGTGTAACCACAAACTAATCACGAGAAAACAGCAGTCAAATCCAAATTGAGGGACAGTGTACAAAAAACTGACCAGTACTCTTTCAAAGTGTCCTGAATGACAAGGGAAGACTGAAAAATTGTCATCACAGACTGGAAGAGACTAAGGAGACATGACAATTAAATGCAATGTGAGATCCTGGATTGCACCCTGGAACAGAAAAAAGATTTTAGTGGAAAAACTAGTAAAGTCCAAATAAAGTCTGTAGTTTACATAAGACTATGGTACCAATGTTAATTTCCTAGTTTTGATAATTGTACTGTGGTTTTATAATGTTACCATTAGAGGAAGCTGGATGAAGGATATACCCAAACTCTGTATTATTTTTGCAACCTTCCTGTAAAACTAAAATTATTTCAAAATAAATAAAAAGTAAATTCCAACAATTCCACTTGCAGGTATACACCCAAAAGAACTGTAAGGACTCAAGCAGATACTTGTACAGCAATGTTGACAGCAAAATTATTCACAATAGACAAAAAGTGGAAACAACCCAGGGTTCCATTAACAGAAGAATGGATAAATAAAATATGGTATATCCATACACCGGAATAATATTCAGCCTAAAAAGGAATGATTCAGACGTATGCTACAACATGAATGAAACTTGAAAATATTATGCTACGTGAAAAAAGCCAGTTACAAAAGGACAAATATTGTATGATTCAACTTACATTAGGAACCTAGAACAGGTAAATTTATAGAGATGGAAAGTAGAATAGAGGTTACCAGGGGCTGTGGGGAGGGGAGATGGGGAGTTATTGCTTAATGAGTACAGAGCTTCTGTTTGAGACAATGAACAAATTCTGGAAACAGAGAGTGGTGATGGTTGCACAACATTGTGGATGTATTTGATGCCAGTTAGTCCTACACTTAAAAATGGTAAGTTTTACATTATGTATATTTTATCACAAAAAAGTTAAAAAATTACAAATAACTATCCAATGTGGGCAGAAGCAGAACTTCAGAGATTTCCTACACCTAAATTAAAATGTAAGGATGATTTATTAGCTCATCTTTCCTACCGCAAACTGGAAAGTTTCAAAAACTTAGTCAGACGCTAAAGGAGAGATTCCTAAATTGATGTTCTCGTTGCTGGGGAGTGTCTTCAAAGCTTTCCAGAGAATAAGCTCCCCAGTGCCAGAATGAAGGTCCCTGATCTCTGCGTCCTGGCGCCTCCCACAGCACTCGGCACACAGGTGTGCATTAAATATTGCTGAGGAATGACCTCCCAAAAGAAACCACACCCCAAAAGGAAGAATTCAAATTTATCATATTACGGAAGGAAAAAGCCAGCCAGCCAGCAAGCAAGCAAAAACACACAGGGTTAACCCTTGTCAGGCCACAGCTTCCTCTTCTTCAGGATAATCTACGGGTCTTGTTAATCTTCCTCCATCTCCTTTGGCCCTTTCACTAATGATAGGGAGAGTCAAGGAAAAGAACTCTCAAAATAATCAACTCTATGAGTTGGTAAGATTTCTGAATGGTCAGTAAAGAAAATCATGGGAAATGTGTTTTATATACTATTTGGGGGAGAGCGGTCAGGAGAATGGACCCAGAAAGGTTTAAAAGCAGAATTGAAAAACGTATGCTTTAGAAACTGTGCTACTACGTCATGAGATGGCTGCCCAGCAGTGTCACTCCCCAGTAGAAGGCCCCAAGTGACAAGGGCACGTGACGACTCCAACCCTTGGGGCTTCCTGCTCACGAGCAGCCCGCAGAGCCACTTATTAACTACAAGGAAATAATAAGAAAATCAAGCTTATGGTTTCTTGCACATACCTGTTGCTGACCAGATACAGAAATACCCAGCTGGATCACTCACACGCTCTAAATGACTTTGTTTATTGCACCAACTTGAATCCAACTGCCTTCAATGGTGATTCATCACCCACTGTGGATTTTCAAGAGGATCTCTGAAGGCAATTCAAATAAACTTCTGCAAATGGTTTGAGCCATGGCAGGATTACTTCTCAGGATGGTGCCTGCTGGTGGTGGGCTAAGGGACCAGGTACATTTCTTCAGTCACTCATGAGAGGTCTTGTCTCTCAAAGCTGATGGTTCTCTAAGGACCCTCATGGCACACTTTTTATTCCCCACAGCACATCATGGAGAGTAGGTTCTTCAAAAACATCTGTTAACCAGCTGATGCCCTTATTCCATAAACTCTAAACATTCAGAAAATCAGAGTTCAGTTCATTAGAAGGCTGTAGATGTCTGTTCGAATTAAGACAGAATTGGGATAGAGTAAAAAGATCCCACACTTTGTAGAGGGGTGGAAATAGATTCAAATACTGGCTCCGCCCCTAACAAGCTGGGGGATGTAATCAAGCCATTCGTCTCTCTGAGCCCCTGCACACTCTCCTCCTTCCGCTCAACTATGTTAAATGAAGGTGATGATACCTACTGTCCAAGGCTACGAGGTTTAAATGGCTCCTAGAACTCAAGAAATAGCTCTGATTCATATTATTGAAAGTAGAATGACTTTTATCGATGCTTACCTCTCTTAGAGTTGGCTTGCCAATGAAGAAGTCCGTGTTTTTGCTGCTTTTGGGTGGGTTGAACTTGGGATTCAGAAAAGCACATCCATTGGCGATGGCCTCCAGGGGAGCCGGGCCCTCGTAAGGGAACCCAAGTCCAGCAAACAACTGCAAGACAGAAGAGCACCCCACATATGAACACGTCAGTCAGGACTGGCATCCCTGGCTCGCAAGGGCTACTCCATGCTCCATTCCTGTGTGGAAGCCCCAGAGACTCTGGACGGTTCCCAGGCCACAGGGGGTGGGGCGAGGAGAAGTCAGCTTACATCAGGACCCGAAAAACATGACCAGGGACCCTGAAAGGCTCATGAAGCTGCTCCGGTCATTATCTTCTCCTCTTTTGCTAAAAAAGTACAGAAAGAAGTGTTGGGGTGGGCAGTTGAGGAGGCAGGGTGGTGGGGTATTAAAAGAATAAAAACAACAACAAAAACCAAGACCCAACAATCATCTTTCTGTAACCCACCGGGAGACACGACTGGAAAAACACTTGCTTAACTAAACAGAAGGTTTCTTCATTGAAGCAAAGGAACAACAAGCCCTTTCAGTGATGCTGGGCAGAGGGACAGAAAGGTCACTTGGAGGTTTGATTACAGTTCAAATGGAGCGGCTTTAAAATGATGGTAGGTCAGTAAACACAGGTTTTCATAATGGGGTTTTCACTGGGGGATACCAACATCTCGGTTTTTATTTCCCCCTCCCTGGAGGGAGGGTGGTAACCTGCTCAATGCTCAGGCCTGCTTCCCTCTCCAGTGAGCAAACCATGTGTTTTCCCCATGGCAGACAATAGATGGCAGCAAAAACTCACTCTCAGAGTCCTTGAAGCAACTGCAGCTGAGAGTCGCTGGGACAAAGGGGACTGCAGTTCAGTGGCACTGATTCCGGAGTCCAGAAATGAAACATCATCTCACAGAAATGCTTCACTGCATCTCCTCACCACAGGGTTCTTCAGACTGCCGGAGGGTGTAGGGTATTGACGGGCAAGGTCCACTTCTGGGCTTAGTGAGGTGTGAGATCTCCCTACCCACATTAAGGGGCTGATTCTGAAATTGCTCCAGTCTCCAGAGGCACATCAAGTGGCGAAAGGTAACTGGGTCCCAGGGCATCATTTCCTTCTGCCATCACGTTGAGGAACACCCACACGGCCAGGCCCTGAGACTGAAGGATGCTGCTGAACCGGATATAGCTACAAGCTTGATTCTCCTTTCCCCGGGTCCTCTCCCCAGCAACGGTGTCTTTGCAGCCGCTTTAACTGACCGATTATTTAGAATGGTTCCTAGGGAGCCCTGAGCCCAAGCTGCCGGGTTCCCCGGACAACACTGGAAGATGCAGCATGTATGTGCTGGGCACTCAATTCCAGGGCTGAGCATGGCCCACAGTGGACACACTGAAGAGTCATGTAACCCTGACAGGGGTCTTTCTGGGACAAGAAACTACAATCTCAGGTTTTCTGGACAGAGTCCCTCTCCTATAATTGTGTGTTCTTTTGCACAGAATAGGATACTTCACCTTTTTATTGTTTTGGAAAATTAACCTTTCATTTCCTGTAAACATTGAGATGACTGACTATACTGTCAGGGATGTCCACAGGGGAGGGAATTGGGGAGAAAAGAAGCTTTGAGAGGCCAGCTGAGCTCTTGCTGCGGGCTGGGTCATTTCCCCTGGGGCAGAACCACTGGAGACATGGGGGCAAGCGAAAACGAGGCAGCAGGAGGCTGGAAGCTGTATAGACAAGGGGTATCTCCACCACCATTTGGAGGCCCTGCTTCTGGATCTTATTCTTATTATGTAGCTAACAGGAGTGAGATTATCAGAGGGAACTTATGTGTATAGGGTATGGCCCAAGCATGTGGCTCAGTGGTGGCAGGTGCTAGACAGCAGCAGAAGAAACGAAACAGTGGGAGCAGTCTCAAGACATCCCAGCTTTGATGAATAGGAGGAATCCAGGGTCACCATCCTTGAGGCTTTTGATCACTGTGATCTGCCCTCCCCATCAGATTTTGGGGAGGGTGTGCCAAGTCTCCAGGGGAAAGGTAACCTCTATCAGGCTGTGGTTGGGCACAGAAAGCACAGGGACCCCAGATCCTTCTGACCCTGAGCAGAAAGGTGCTGGAAGATGCAGGCGGAGGGTCCCTGTGGGTTTAACCAGGGGCCTTGTAGATCTCAGTGTTTCCTGACCTCTGAAAATCAGAGCCTGCCATGAAGCGTCGATACCTTCATCAACTCTAAATTGCAAAGAACTTTGGAGGAAATGCAGGAAGCACAATGCTTGTCTATTTAAATAGAAAATCCTGGAAAAAAATTTAATTAGCTCCTTCAGACCAACCAAACTGAACCCATTAATTAAAAGCATTTGAGGCTGTTGCTTAATGGACTTGAATATGCCCTAGGTTTAATTATATCTGAATAACAATTTGCACCATCTCTTCTGCTCTGCTGGCATCAGAGTATCTCAGCACATATAAAATACACACTTTGGGCTAACTCTCCAAGCCTCACAGTTTTAGAATGAAGTTGAAGCAAATACTGCACAGTTTCTCAGCAATGAGTTTTCTTGTCCCACTAATTAGGATTACAGGAAATGCATTACTTGAAAACACCAAAATAACAGTTCTTTGTCACTTCTGTCAATAAGCCATTTTTTCTTGCTTCCTGTGCACTCATTACCTGTGACATTATAATGGAGCAGATGTATGAAGGTCAAATTGCACACTTGAGGTTTGAACAAGGGAGGCAGAGAGAGTTCATCACCAGCGTGAACTTCTGAGAGCTGATGGCCTTGCCGCATGCTGGTACCTTAACCACAGTAAATTGCTTTTCCCATCTCCCTCTTCCCCCGCCGTTCTGCCTACTTACAGATTTCCTTAGCATGGGGGCAAGAGACACACTACGAGGATGCATTCAAGTGCAGAGGCTTAACTCTTCAGGAGGAAGCTGGGCATATTTTATTTATATCTCATCTGGCCCTCAGAAGCCCAGAATCTAATGAGGATATTCCAGATGACAGAACATCTCCATGGCTGCAACTCCGGCTCCATCAATGAGCATTTCTAAACAGAGGGATTACATGCTTTAAAATTAAACTTTTGAACTAATACTATGCAAGCGAGAACAGATGAAGCCCTGGACGTTGTATTCATGGCAGAGGACTGGAAAATTCTCACATGCTAACAAAGAGTTTAGGAAAACCATTCCGTTTTTCATTCTCTGTGAGAGGAGAAATGGAATTGTTTTAAACCCCTAAGTGGAGTATAACAAAGAATCCTTTAAACATGGATTAAGGTCGTTCTTAGGAAGACTGGACTGGTTTGGTCAATTTCCAGTCACTCTTGATGGGGACCATCAAGGATAATCCCAAACAGGAGACACGCTCAACATAGACTTTGCTGACTAGTTTTTTTTTTTTTTTTTGCTGAGGAAGATTTGCCCTGAGCTAACATCTGTTGCCAATCTTCCTCTTTTTTTTTTTTGTAATGTGAGCCAACACCACAGCATGGCTGCTGACAGACAAGTGGCATAGTTCCGTGCTTGGGAACCAAACCTGGGCCATGGAAGCTGAGCACACTGAACCAAACCACTAGGCCTCAAAGGGCTGGCCCGACTAGTTTTAATTGGACAAGTTGGTGAGGTGGCTCAGGAGGGAGTTTGAGCAATGACTCAACCTCAGCTTATCCAGTAAACTGATTATTGGCACAAAGTGTTTAGGACAATGCAGTGATTAACAGCACAGGCTCTGGAGTCAGGCAGACCAGGGTTCAAATCCTGACTCCATCACTTCCTAGATCTGTAACTGTGGGAAACTGTTACATGCCTCTTTCTGTGGATTTTTCTGAGGTCCATTTATAATGCATTCTCTCTAGCTGTGAGACCTTAGTCAAAGTAACGCAAGCTCTCCAAACCTATCTTTTCATGTGTAAAATGGTAAAAATAATAGTGCTCTATTTCTTGGGGCTGCTGTGAAGATTAAATGAGATAGTCCATGGAAAAGATGTATTCCAAGGTTTGGCTTTCACCAAATTCAAACCCAGATTCAACTTTATGCAGTTGCCTGCCCATGACCTTGTATTGTATTGGTGGAGTTTAGGTCTGCTGGAGTCGTGGCTGTGGGTTTTTACAAGCCATTCAGCATCTGCACATGTATTCATGAATTCTCAGTGATTCATAAAGGACCTGGACTGAAAAAAATGGAGGGACATCTATGAGAAGGGGGCGAGCCCCGTGGCCAAGTGGTTAAGTTCGCGCACTCTGCTTCGGCAGCTCAGGGTTCGCCAGTTTGGATCCTGGGTGCAGACCTAGCACTTCTCATCAAGCCATGCCACATAGAGGAGCTAGAATGACCTACAACTAGGATATACAACTATGTACTGGGGCTTTGGGGAGAAAAGAAAAAAAAGAGGAACATTGGCAACAGATGTTAGCTCAGGGCCAATCTCCGCCAAAAAAAAGGCAGAGAGAGAGAACATGGTTTACAGTGACCGCCTCATGAAAAGGTCAGTCCCATGAGCCACATGCTGATGTTAAACCTTACTTGGTTATTCTTCCGATAATGATTGGGAATCACTATATTTTTGGTAACAAGTATCCCTTTTATATCTTTAAAAAGAATTCATACAATAGCGGGTATGGAGAAAATTTACTTTCCTGATAGGTGATGTTTTCATGTAGCCCAAAGGGTTCCCTTTTGGACATCTGTTTTCCCTTCTGTACCCAATGTACACAACAGTGGCCAAAATCTCCCCCATACAGGTTTGGCCACACCCTTTCATGGACTCCAGGTGCCCCAACCTATACTACCTATAACTATATATTATAACTATACTATATTCTCCCTTAAAAAGCTAGAAGGACAAAGGAGACTAAGACAATGACACTTGTCAACCGTGTTTAAGTGCCCAAAGTTTGTCCAAGTTGGCTGCTAAAGCAAAGGCTATTTCCTGGGGACCCGCTCACTGGGTCAACTCCCAGACTCTGCCCACTTACCCAAGTGGCCTTCCAGAAGCAAAACAAAACAAAACACAAACAACAACATCCAGACCAAAATTTCCTGCACTTCCACCATCTGGAAGCCCCGGGACAATTTGCATTGTAAACGCATTCACTTGGAGATGGGGCAGTAAGAGAACATTTGGATAAATTTAAAACTGTAGACACTGACCATCTCCTGCCGTGCCAGCATCACATGTCTACCGTTCAAAGGCAACTCAGTTAACCCCTCCCTGAAGCAGCCTTCCCTGAGCACCCACCTGTCACCCAAATTCCACAGCAGGCTGACCCTTCGCTCTCAACAGTGAGGCAGCACAACAGGCCTATTCGCTGCAACATGAGGATGGCTTCTAATGGTACCGAGATCAGAGAAATTTCATGATGAAGAGAGAATTCGCGGAAAGGGCTTAGCACAGGTAAAGGGTAGAGAAAATGGCAGTTGTTGCAGTAAACCCCATGGTTAAGTGCACCACAATAACACGAATGCGCTAAATGTGTTAAAACATTTGACTTCACAAGTCACAGTGCAACATCTTACACACCTGAATGGGGGATCCTGCTCATAGCATCGCAGTGAGATTTTATGTCAGTATCACTATTTTTTATTATTACTCCTTCTACCTGTGTACTTTTCATATTGTTCATCACCTGTTTACCTGTTGGTCTCCTCCACTACGCCTGTATACTCCTTGCACGCAAAACTGCCTTAGTCATCCCTGTATCAAAAATGTCTGGAATATATTCAGTACTTAATACACATTTTTCGGGTAAATGAGCAAAAGAATAAATATTAATAGACTAGATCTTTCCAGCAATCAAGCGTCTCTGTAAGGAGATGTGGACGGTTTTTGTATGTATTTGGGTGTGGGGATGCCCTTTGGTTCTTGAACTCAGAGAGGTTATTGAATCCTATCTTTATACACTCTTCATTCTCTGCACATACGTGGGAGGGGAAGAGGGAGCAGGCAATATGTGCATATGCAATTTTTTTTCCATCTAGTTGAAACAGGAATGACTTGAGGTACTGGTCACCAGGATGAAAGCTGCTTGACTGCTTGAGGGCAAATGTTTCAGTCTGTGAAACAGAAATGCAAGATGGACTGCTCTACCAGTAAGTAAGCTCTTGGGCTCTCCCTCCCAGGGCCTGGAGATGTGGGCAACAGCATGGAGAGGCAGGCATGGGGTATCAGAAGAACAGTGCCCCTCGCAGGGGAGATCCTGGAGACCTAGGTGTGTAATTCATGAGAAAAGCAAGAAATCTCTCCCAGGGGCATGGCCCCAGGATCCCAAATGGCAAGTGGATTTCACCTTGACTCCTTTGTTCACTCTTTATACTATTATCTGAAGGCCTTCTACAAGCCTGGCACTATTCTAGGCACTGAGAATGCACCTGTGAACAGAAAAGCAAGGCCCCTCGCAGTCATGGGGCTGCACGAGAGTCTGGTTCACCGTTAGTGGCTGCCACAAGCCCTGGGTTTGAGAGAGATTGTGCAGCCACATCCAAGCTTATGGAAAGAGCCATGGTTGATTCGGGGGGGCTCAGACGTGGGGATGGGATGGGACAGGGACAGTACCTACTGCACATCTTCCAACCCTGCCCAGGCTCCTGGCTGAGTTCCATGGGTAAGCTGATGAGCTGACGTGGTAGGGAATCAGGGTCGTCATGATCCACCCGAGTGCTGGAGGGAGGAAGGACCGGAGGTCTGGGTAGAGAAGGGGTACAGCAACAGCATGAGCAGCAGCAGCTTCTTCCTCTGGTTTTCCACAGCCAGAATTTGTTCTCGACTTTGACTGTAGAAAGGGAGGTACCTGTTCTGGCTCACTTCAAACGCTCCTCCAACCCAGCGTAGGAGGCAAATGCCCCATTCTATAAGGAGCCCCACGGTAAGACGGGGGGAGGTGGGCATGAAGAGGTTAAAATTAACAAGAGAAGAAAGAAACCACATTAAAATAGACTAAGATTTAAGCCAAAAGTAAAAACATGCCACACCAGTCAGTCCTACTTGCCAGCTTAAATTACACTCCTGGAGTTTGCTGAACTGAATGACTTGTCTATAGCCCTCTGATAAATAATCAATTCACCCCAATTTATAAGCCTATTAGAAGAGTCTTCTAGATTCAACAACTTCCCAGCTCTTTTAGCCCCGATGTTAGTATTACAATTCCTCCTGTCTTCATAGGCACCCTGCAGCTGGAGTCTGCTAATGACACCTGGGCCCTTAATGGCATGCCAGGACAAAATTCTGCTGAGCAGAGGGTTTCCTGGGCTTGGTGCAGAGACTGAAAGATGGCTCATAAAGAAAAATAATGAGTGAGAAGCTGATTAAGCATCAATCATTTCAATACGTGTCTAAACCCTGAGGAGAACCAGCCCTGCTTCCTTCTCCAATAACCAGTCTGAGGAGAGTTCGAGCCTCACTCATTCTGCAGACATCTGCTTCTCTGCATCTCCAGCTTGCCACTTTCAACATGGATCGGAATAAATTGCTTTTAAACTGCTCAGAGACACAGAGGAAAAAGCTAGAGACAGAAAGGGTTATAAATGCAAAGCCTGCTGGTCTTTAGCATCATTATTTCAAAGCCCAAGATTCATTCATTTCAGCACCTGCTGCTGTGTTCTGGGTATAAGGGGAATCTCGGCGATACACTTCCTCATTTTCATCATATTTCCCAACAGTTTTAGCCATAATTCCACTTGGAGCACCTTAATATATTCTAGTCAGATGAACAGGCAATACAAAATGGGATCAGTGACATCCTCGGAAGGCACCGGTTTTTCAAGGATAAATATACGCTCCTCACACTCGGATTCAAGCTGTACCCCCTTGGTTGTCAGGCAGACTCTGACACTGCAGCCTGGGCCTTCCGGGCCTCTTCTCTTCCTCCCCTGGACAGCAGGGACCTCAGCTTTGGCCTATTTTCCATTCTCTGATAGGGTAAATGGATGGTAGGTAAGCAAGGGTTCTTTTAAAATTTTCAAGGCTGAGTAACACATTCACGAGGCTGGGTTAATAGAAGCGTGTGAGACAGTAACGACACGCTGCTGAAAACCAGCGCTGTTGAATGTAATTTTAAAGGAGCTTGAGCTTTCTCCTCAGTGTGATGTGGGGAAAAGTAAAACGAGGCAAATGGCAAAAATAGCATTGCCACTAAAGGGCCCAGACATCCTAATGATTCTAAAATGTCATCTGAAGACAGGAGGTGAGTAGGAAGTGAACGGTGCACACTGTGGAACAGACTGCGCTCCTGGACTGTCACAAACAGTCATCAGACCACAGCTGACCAGGCAAAGAAATAATATCTTATTTACAACAAAGCAGATCTTTGGCCAAGGAGATCAATAAGTTACCAAACTAGTTTGTTCATGGCATCACACAAATGACTTGGAGGTAGAAGTGATTAGGTGTACTGGCATACGGAGAAACCGAGGCAGAAAGGAGATGCATACTCTTTTGGCTGGTGAGTATCCACTAAATGTGATGTTTAGGTGTTTACTCACGAGGATGTTACGTTGAGTGCGTAGCAGAGCTTTAATTTCCAGTAAAAAAAAAAAAAAAAAAAACCATGACCTAGGACCACCTGCCAAGACAACCTCGGTGACTGTGGGCAAGCCAAACTCTCTAGTCTATTTCCTCATGTTTAAAATAAAGTTAACATTAAGACCTTCCCTGCTACCTCTTACGGCTATTGTGATAACTGAACAGGACAGCATACGTAAACACATTTTCCAAAATCGAAGTATCACACAATGATCAGAAATCGCTATTATGCCACAGAAATTCACCTACCCAGCTTCTCTCTCCTGCTTTGAAAATGAAAACATAGTCAGCCCCTTATCTAATTTTATCTTCCACTGTTTCCCAACACTTAGACAAGAGGGGTTGGTTTCTGGCTCTCTCCTGAATGTGTCATCTCCACGTCCACAGCCTGACTCTCACTCCTGTCTGTCCCACATGTCAGGTGCAGCCACACTCCATCCATCTTTCATCTCTTACATCTTTCATCACGCCTTCGCTGCTCCTTAAGCCCAAAGGAACCTTCCCCTTATCTGAACCTTGTCAGTGTCCAGTACAAACATTCTGAATGAGGAGGTGCAAAGAAAAGCTGGTTGGGGGACCAATTCCTTGAATAGCGGTGACTGGGAAGGTGGGGGAGTTAAGCACCCCAGACTTGCTGTGAAAGTTGCTGCTCTATCAGGTCTGATGCTCGAGACGGGGTCTTCCCTGTCCTGTTTGCCACCAGATCCCCAGCCCCTCGCTTGATGCCTGACACAGAGTAGGTCCTTAGTAAATAAGTTTTAAACTGTAGCAACCTTCTGCCACACTTCACTAACTTTTAAGCTACAGCTGGTCCAGAAAAACCACTGCCTAGAAATGACCTGAAGAGCTATTGCAGCATTGAAAAGAAAGCATGAGAGGTTCTGATCCCATTTTCAATGCCAATGGAAACAGATCTGTAAACAACATCACTGGTGAATTTTTACAAAACTACTAAAAACTGACCTTGGTTTCTCGGAGAAGAAACTGCAGGTCCCGTCCGCTGAGGATACCATGGTTTTTCACGTAACTGGGAATATTCTTGGTGCTGGAGCCGTAAACAGTCGCGTGCACCTCCATGTACGTGTGAATAATGTCCAAGTACATCTTCTTATTCTGAAGAGGGGACACAAGGAGAAGGCATTTCTCTTTTCATTCTCGTAACAATCTGTCTCATAACTGGAGGCCAGAGTTCTCAATATGCAGAATTTGGTAATTCAACTCCTAAAATTTCTTTCAAGAGTAATCTGACAGGATTTTGACGACAAAAACAATCATATTGCTGATGTCCACTTTTGCAAGAAGAAACATATAGCAACGTATTACTATATAATACTAATATATCACTCTGTAGTATATTATATATAATACCATATTACTATAGAACATCAATGATAGATCAAAGCTAATTGTTTTGAACTATCATTCTTGTTCTGTAAATTACCAGAGACTCAACACTTTTGCTTTTGGCTTGTCTTCTTTATGGGGGAGGAAGTTTGGGGCAGGAAAACCCAGAGAAGGCAGTCAGTTGGACTGGAACATTTATCCGGAGATGCTAAGCTGTCCCAGAGGAATACAAACATCCCCAGCCCCAGCCAATATTTCTAGTGATGATTAACTCATGTTGTCAGAACTGGATCCTACCGAATTCGAATCAGGGGGAGATGAGAGTTTCCCACAATATACATTGACACGGCAGCTGGAGAGAGAATGAGAATATCCAGGTAGACAAAAGTGGAAACAAGATTAAATGTAAAGTTTGATGAGCTCTGAAACATTCAAGAGCAGTTTTTACTTTTCTTAGAAGCAAAATAAAACCTCTTTTCTATATTTGCACGCACTGAATTTCGAGGCACATTTTCTAAATCAAAACCACCTGTGAAGCGGAAGCAAGCTCACTTTCCCATCCTCTCCACATTTCCGTGTGACTAAGTTGAACAAGCTGGATTTTGTAGGTTGCTTCTCTTTTTTTTTTTCTTTGGAAATTTGAAAGATTCAAGTTCTGTAACGTTTTCCAGTTGTATGAAAGTGGGACAAGGTTTTCCCATTCTAAGCCTGTTTTCACACACTCCAGGAAAATGTAATTATAGCCAGTTTTGTGACTTCAGACCGCAAAGGACACGGGGATGTGGCATCAGCAGCCACAGTGTGCAGAGAAGGGGAAGCGGGCCCCGATGAGAGGAGGAGGGGCAACACCTCTTCTCGGCCTTGCCTGGAGGGACACCCTTACTCTGACTTGGGGGGCAGCTCCTCACAGTACCAGGAGCCGGGTTCAGGGTCTGCCGTCTGCCATTCACTGCCTGGTGGAGAACATTACAAAGGATTCTCAACTTTGGGGGAAATATGTTTCAAATCCTGTATCAAAAGTCCTCATGACTGGAAAACCAGTATAGTCTACACTCTCCAGGCACCAGGATGATTTTGTTCGGAGTCAACCAAGTCCATCCCTGCCCCCAATGTAGGAATAAAATGAAGACCTGGGATGAAAGTTTAATTTCATGCCATGTTTTGTGTGGCTGGAAGATGCTCAGTTTATTACTTCAGAGATGCAGACCCTTGAATCAGTGCAGAGGTGACTAAGAACCGTTTATAAACCACGACTTCCCATTCACAGCTGGAGCCGAATTTAAGATCGCTTCCCTGGTGTAAGTTAACTTGAGGGGTTCTATGATAGAGTTCTTGTGCTAGACATACCCGATTAACTCCTGTCCCCGTGAACCCCATTCTCAGCGACTCCATCCCCATCCATAGCCCCTGGTAGGTAGGGCAGGGGGTTCTGCAACCCTGTCCCTGTCCCTGCTGACCAGCCCAAGGTGTGTCTGACCTGAGGGGGACCCATTCCTAGGCTGGCCAGCAGCCTGGGACAGTGTGGCCAGGCTGAGAAAGAAGAGTTGAGTCAATCAGACCCTGTCTCAGGAGCTCAGAATCCTGTACACAGAGAGATCACTGCCAGATGGCCATGGGCTTTAGAGCAAAAAGGTCATTCAGTGTTGGAGTCCGGGTAATTACGGGCCAGATACAAGCTGTGAGGAAGCCAGCTGACAGTTTTGGGGGTTGGGGGTGGAAATAGAACCAGTAAGAGCTGAAAGAAAGGACAGAAGATGACAGAGACAGACAGGTGGTCATAAGAGGAACCCAGAGTGACTAAGACCTAGACATCACCCCTGCAAGCATGATGGTGGGGTGGAGAGGAAAGAGGAAGAAGAGGAGGAGGAAGAAGACAGAGAAAAGAAAGGAGAGAGACAGGAGAGAAAACCAGGGCCCAGAGCTGCTTCTGGGTCCTGCCCCACCCACGGCTGTCGTGTATCCTAAATTCCCGTCTTTCTGGATTCCTACAATATAGCAGCTACCCACCTCTCCCCGCCACACGCACACTTTTACTTGAGCTACTCTGGGTGGATTGTCATCATCCATGAGGACGCCTGTCAGGACATCCTGTGGCCTTTTCCTCAGGGACTGGGGTGGAGGATGAGGCAGGCATCTTTCCTTTAAGAAAAAGGAGGCATTTCCTTGTGAAAAGCCAGCTGCTAACTAGCGAAGATGCACCAAGGTCTGCAGTGAGCTACAAAGGGGAACATCAACGGCCCATCTGGTTCCTGTCCTGGAGAATACTCAGTGTAGACCGTCTCAAGATTAGGAGTCCCAGACCGAAAGCCTGGGAAGGGAACAATTACTAGGATACACAGGTACTGTCGTCAGTCCCAGAAAAGGTTGGGGCTCCTCAAAGTATAACAAGCGGGCAAGTTCAGGCAAATGTAAAGAAGTATGTGCAAAGACTAGTAAAGTCTATGAACTCATTAACGTTAAAGCATGGTAAAGTCTGAAAGTAGAAATTACCTTCAGAGAGGACTTAAGTAATTTCATAAATGGGAAAATCACAACAGGTTATTAGAGGAAAAAAATTGTTTCAAACATAACTCTAACCTCTGAAGTTGACATCGCAATTAGGAGATTCCAGCCCAGGTCTCTTGTTGTCACTTGTCAGAGTTCTGTAGAAACCTGGCAAGGGTGAACCATGCTACGGATTCCAGGTAAAGGTGCCAAAGGAGCCACTCACACGGAGCTGCCCCACTTCCCAAAGGTAAGGCTCACTGGATGCTAAGGGAACGCAATCTCCAACCCGAATTTTGGGTCAAAAATCTGACTGCCTCCTGAACCTCTCCACCTGGGTGTGCTGCAGGTACTTCAACACATCAGGTCAAAAAGGGAATCCATCATCTCACTTTCCCAGAACAGCATCACCCTGTGTCCTCCTGTTCTCAGCGACTAGCATTAGTCTCCCAGCCAGGTACCTGCACCAGAATCACACTTGTCATTTCACACATCAAATTAGTCAGAAGCCCTGTTGACTCTCCCTCCATAATATCAAATTTGTCTCCTCCTCTCCAGGCTTTGATCTTCGCTCACCTGGACTATGCCAGAGTTAACACAACCAGCATCCTGACACATCTCCCTGTGGCCCAAAAGGTGATGCAACTTGTCTGTGGTTTCTACAAGTAAGCAGCAGCGTTGAGACTGATTGCAAAACACTTTGTATGGCTCAATGCCTTTTTGTATTTTTGCTGGGAAAGATTTACCCTGAGCTAACACCCGTTGCCAATCTTCCTTTTTTTTCCTCCCCAAAACCCCAGGACATAGTTGTATATTCTAGTTGTAAGTCCTTCTAACTCCTCTATGTGAGCTGCTGCCACAGCATGGCTACCGACAGATGAGTGGTGCGCTTCTACAACTGGGAACCGAACCCGGGCTGCCAAAGCGGTGAGCGTGCCAAACTTTAACCACTAGGCTATCAGGGCTGGCTCTCAATGCCATTTTTTTTTAAGCATGAAAAGCAATATTATTCAATATTATGCATATGGACAATATTTTTACATATGGACATCTGTAGTTAAGTACAAAGATACACACAGGGATGACAGACATCAACTTCTGGATATTGATTACCACGGGGGGGAAGGAGTGTTTGGGGAGGTGGATGGAGCGCTAATGAAATTCATCATATATCATTTCTCTGTTAAAGAAAAGTATTGCAAAATATTAACATATATCTCCAGGTGGTGGGTATATTTGCCACATTTCACAATTAAATTGAAAATTTTAAATATATGCAATCAAGAAAAAACAGAAATCAGTCTGTACAACACCAAGGCTTGCACCACTGCCACCATGCTGGAGGGTTCTGTTCTTGCCATAGAGAGGTTCAAAGGACCCCCTTCTGTCTTCAATGTGTGTTGCTATCATTTGTGCTTAAGGAATAGGGTGCTGAGGTTTTTTATATTAAGCTTGTCCTGCCTGCCTTTCCCCAACCCATGGGAGGGCCCAAAGTGGGGCGGGGAGAGAGGGAGTGTGTGTGTGCAGGGGTGAGGGCATTTGCTAGCGTACCCCTCCCTCCCATCTTTGACACCCAGGCCCAGGGTGAAGGTGGCACCATGGAACTGGGTCTCCTATTGATCCAAGAACTGGATCAAGATCACTCCCTAGAAAGCTTTCACCTCTCTGACGTAAGAGACCAAGGTCAAAGAAAACTATCTACTCCCAAAACCCTATCACCTACAAATTTGTTGAGACACAGTCCAAATGGGCCTGGCACTGAGTATCACACCACAGCGTGCCACCACCCCTGTCTCAGAGCCATGAGAAATGTGTCCAAAAGCAACTAGCTGCCCCACAATGCTTTCACTCTCTAGTTCAATTTAAATTCCCATTGAAAACAACCAATCAAACTGATTAAAATTTAAATCTACCTAAGCTCATCTGGAGGTGGGGGGAAGGGAAGATTCAAATGCAAAGAGGAGAGGAGAGCAGAGCGGGCTGGAGTAGAGGAGCAGCGTTTTCAGGGCGTCTGCAGCTGCTTATGGTTGTAGCTGGAGGCAGGGACATTTGCAGAACTGGGCGTCAGATATTCAGAGCTTGAACAGAGAGCTTTAGGAAAACAATTCATCTAAAGCAACACTAGTGTGAGTTGGCGGCAGGGAGAGCTGGAATACAGAACGGGAGATGAGATCTTTCTTTTCTTGCTGGTGAATTAGGGGTGTAGGAATGTACTTTGGTAAATGGCAGTATTCTGAGCTTCTGGTTGCAGTGGATGTTATGTTCTTCTCTCCGGAGCCACACCT